CAAGATACAAGGAAAAGATTAGTCCAAAGGACTAATGGACCACAGCTACCACAGCCTCCACCAGACTGAGTCCAGTACAGCTAGATGGTGCCGAGCTACCACCACTGACTGCTCTGACTTGGATCACAATAGAGGGTCCTGGAAAGAGTTGGAAAAGTATGTAGAACAAAATTCTAACTTACAAAAAAAAGACCAGATTTACTGGCTTGACAGACTGGAGAAACCCTGAGAGTATGGCCCCCGGACACCCTTTTAGCTCAGTGGTGAAGTCATTCCCGAAATTCACCCTTCAGCCGGGGATTGGACAGCCTTATAAAACAAAAGGGGACTAATGAGGCACAGCAATCCAGGGACAAGGACTAGAAGGCAGGAGGGGACAGAAAAGCTGGTAATAGGGGACCCAATGTTGAGAAGGGACAGTGTTGACATGTCGTGGGGTTGTTAACCATTGTCATAGGGCAATATGTGTACTAACTGTTTAATGAGCAACTATTTGTTCTGCAAACTTTCATCTAAGGTACAAATAGAAAAAAAAAGAATTATCTATGTGAGATCAAATTGACAACAGCGCTCGAAAGGTTTGATGGGAAGCCTAGGGGGCAGTGAGTTGAAGATAATGGTGATGGAATAATTTGGAAAAGGATAGTGAGAATAGCAGCACAACTGGAAGAATGTAATCGATGTCAGTAAATTGTACATGTAGAAACTTTTCAAATGGTGTAACTTTGGCTACATATATTTTCACCAAAAGAAGGTTTCCCAAAGGTTGAGAAGGGAGAGTGCTGACATGTCATGGGGTTGTTAACCAATGTCATAAAACAATCTGTGTACTGACTGTTTACTGAGAAACTATTTGTTCTGTAAATGTTCATCTAAAGCACAATTTAAAAAATATATATTTACCCCTATTTTTCTAAGTTTATACCAGTCTTTTATTTCTTTATATCTCCTTGACTTTCTCTCCATATAAAAAAACTATGTCTACATTTTTTAAGTCCCTCTTTTTTGTTTTAATGTTGTCATCTTTTATGTATTGACGTCTGTTTCCCTATTTTCAGTGTTTTAGCTTTGGTTTATTTTTGTGACTTCCCCATCTGGGTTGATATCTGGTTGCTCTGTCCTGTGTTCTAGTCTTGGGTTGTTGTCTGATGTTATTGATTTTCTAACCGGAGGATTCCCTTTAGTATTTCATGTAATTTTGGTTTGGTTTTTGCAAATTCCCTAAACTTCTGTTCATCTGGAAATGCCCTAATTTCGCCATCATATTTGAGAGACTGTTTCACTGGATATACAATTCTTTGCTGGCAGTTTTTTTCCTTCAGGGCTTTATATATGTCATCCCATTGCCTTCTTGCCTGCATTCTTTCTGCTGAGTAGTCTGAGCTGATTCTTATTGACTCTCCCTTGTAGATGACTTTTCGTTTATCCCTAGCCACTCTTAAAATTCTCTCTTTATTTTTGGTTTTGGCAAGTTTGATTATAATATGTCTTGGTGGCTTTCTTTTGGGGTCTACCTTGTGTGGGGTTCGATGAGCATCTTGGATAGATATTTTGTCATCTTTCACGATATCAGGGAAGTTTTCTGCCAATAAATCTTCAAGAATTCTCTCTGTATTTTCTGTTATCCTTCCCTGTTATGGTACTCCAGTCACTCATAGGTTATTCCTCTTGATAGAATCCCACATAATTCTTAGGGTTTCTTCATTTTTTTGAATCCTTTTTTCTTATTTTTCCTCAAATAAGTTGGTGTCAAGTGCTTTATCTTCAGTCTTACTAATTCTGACTTCGTTGCCTCAATTCTGCTCCTATGACTTTCTATTGAGTTGTCTAAATCTGACATTTTATTGTTAATCTTCTGGATTTATGATTGTTGTCTCTATGGATTCTTGCAGCTTGTTAAATTTGTCATTATGCTCTTCTCTAATCTGTTTAATTTTCTCTATTGGCTGTTTTGTGTTTTGACTAATTTCCTTCCTGATCTCTTGAAGAGTTCTGTATGTTAATCTTTTGTATTCTGACTCCAGTAATCCCAAGAAATTTTCCTTCTCTGGAAAATTTCTTGATACTTTATTTTGGGAGCTTGCTGAATCCATCGTGGACTGCCTCTTTATGTGATTTGGTATTGACTGTTGTCTCCAAGCCATCAATAAGTTGTTATGTTTATTTATTTTATGTTTATTGTGTCCTAGCTTCTTGTTTTGTTTTGATATGC